CTCGAGTCATTCAATGGCCTTTTTGGGGTGAGGGTCCCAAAACTGAGCCCACTCATCAAGGGGCGGCTTCACCAGTGCCGAGCCCAGGGCTCAGATCCCTTCCCTGTCCCTGCTGGCCACACTAGTGCTGATACAAGCCAGGATGCCACTGGCCTTCTTCCAATTGCTCCAAACAGTTATAGCAGCACATCATCTCCCAAGGGCCTGGCACAGGTGTGCCTGGGATGGGGTCAGATGAGAACAAGAACAGAGTTGCACGTTGGTCAAGTTCTTGTGCGACTGCTGGAAGGCACCAGAATACTTTGTTGTTTGAGCTGGGCGTGAGCAAAAGGGATCTGACAGAAGTCAATTATCTTGGACCCTATAAATTGCAATCCCAAGAGAGACCCTTTGAGCTCTCCTGGATTGCAGTGGCCTGTGACCAGCATCTCCCCTGAGCTGGGAGCCTCTCGGGTATCAAAACCTTTACGGTTTTTTATTAATTCTTAATCCCTCCTAGTAATTACAACTTTTCTCTGGTGTATGCCTCCTCAGCTCTAGCTGAGGAGCTCTAGCTGAGGACAGGAGCTGTTTCATATTTAAATAGTATTCTATCTGGAGTGGTCTCCTGGGAGCTGTTGGTCTTGAAGGCTGAGGTTTAATTCTCTGCACCACTAACTAGATCAGGAAAATAACAAGGAAGATGGAAGCAGAAGGTTTGTAGGGGCGTCTTACCAAACATGTCTTCTCTTGCTTTAAGAGTAGTATGGTGGGCCTGCTGTGATTCAGAAGCATTCATTTCTTAGGGAGATAAAGAGGAGGGAGAGAAATAATTGCATTTTTATCCCCAGATAACACAGTATCCCCTTCTACAGTAACACAGTAAGAGAAGGAAGTGGAAAGTATGAGTCCAAAGATTCCACTTGATTTAAAAGCAGAGAAGTTCCTTGGCTGGGAGACCTGACAGAGCGGGCAAGGGGGAGAGGTCATGACTACAGTCTCATTAAACTTTTCCGTTGAAATTGCTCTTAGTGATAACAGGAGACTGCAGTTTATCCCACGTAGACTGATTAAATGTCATGACAGTTTGTTTAAATGTATTTGGGCCCCCGGACTGACAGCTCCTTGGAGCCGTCAAGCAGAGAACCCACAAGGGACATGTAACTCTGCTGGTTGTAAGCTGTGTACAGGACCTGGCTCAAGAGGTAACGAGGAAACAGCCATTCAGTTGCAGAGACCAAATGTACTCAAACTCAATGCTTTACAGTCATGAAACAGCCCCCAAATCCCTTAAGACTCCACTGTTGGTGGGGTTTTCGTTTTGAAGTGGAGAAAGCTTGTTAACAGGGAATGAGCAGGAGGGGCAGAGGGTACAAGGCTTGCAGGAGGCTTGGAGACTGTTCAAAGACCTTGTGTGAGCAGTTCAGAGTAAATGTTTTACCACCTGTCAAAACCATAGCTAAAATCCTGTCAGAGAACAGCCGTGTGGTTGGACAGCAGAGTAATGAATGCTTTTAGAAGGGGAGGAAAAAACATGCCCCTTGAAGAAACTGAAGGCTCTTCAAGAACTTAACCCTTGTTGGATAATATCAAAGGGTCAAAAGCTAGAAAACAGACAGAAAGAATGACAGAAAGTTATTCCCCAGATTTCAATGATTCCATGTGCCTGTTGTGCTCCTCATGACAATGCTTTCTGAGCGTATGGTCATTAGTTTCTTCATCTTGTGAAGTTTCTGAAGACCTGACAGAAAGCTGTTGCTGGCTGAGGTGTGACTGTGTCTGTTCCCTGCTGCCCTGCTGGTGGTTGCTTCACTGGAGTGAAGGTAACTAGAAATAACACATCACAGCTGGGGGCTGGAGTTGTTCCTTTATGCTCATTTGATACCTAAATCCAGCCTGGTTTAAGCCACCCTGGAGAAGCTGCAGTAGGCTGATGCTGAAACCTTGCGTCTGGTTCTGGACTTGCGCAGGGTCAGAGGGGTTCAGAGCAGAGAGGGGAGCTGATGGACTTCAGCCTGTGGTTTCTGTGTACAGAAGAGCGAGCATTTGAACTTGCTTCAGCAGACTGTACCAAATGCACTTTAGATCCCTGTTACAACTCTTCTGCCGCAGTTTTCCCAAACTTCTGTCGTGAACTCCACGCTGCTGTGCAAGTGTCTCTAGTGCGTGCTCTCACTCTTCTTCAGGAGAGAGCCGTGGGCAGTGGAGGAGATGGTATGGCAGGAGCTGCTTTTTTCAAGCTACAACTTGAGAACGTGAATGGGAAGTTGTTTTGGGTTTGCACTGTTATGTTCAGTATGGTCCTGAGGTGCAGGTGCTGGGTTCGGGGTCTCAGACCGGCTCCCCAGAAAGAGCCTTTCCTGTGCCATGGAGAGGAAGAGTCTCAAAGAATAGAGCTGCAGTCGCTAGTGCTTGTCTCCGAGCTGTTTCTATTCTCAACCCCTGAATATGGGAAAGAACCTGCTTCTTCCCGTCAGTCAGGGCAAACAGACTTTGCTCTGAGGTGGTTTTAATTGCTTTCCTTGTTCTAATGATGGAACGGTAGAGCCTTCCATCTCTGCTTGCACAGTGCCATGACTGTCCACGCTTTGGTTTCCGTTCCTCAGGCACTGCTTCTGCTCCCTCTGAGGCTGTGGTCATGGCTAAATTGCCTCCTTACAGCACACCTTTTTCTCTGAAGTCTCTTATTTTTCATGTCATCTTAAAAACACCGCTGCAGGAGTCACGCTGCCCTCCTCTTCCTGCCAGGTCGCATTCCAACCTTAGTGAAGGTTATTTCTTCAACATTATTTCTGTCCTCTCTATTTTTTTTTTTTTTTTTTTTTTTTTACGTTTTCTCTCAAGGGTGTAAAGTTTTATTCTGCGCTGCAAATGGGCTGCAGACTGAGATGAAAAGAGGGGAGTTTCAATCGAAATGCATAAGCCAGAAAAGAAAGGAGAAATTGAAAGTGTTAAACAGTGAAAGTAAAGAGGCAGATTTTTAGTTAACAACCCCTAAATGGTTTGTGTAAAAGCTCGGAAAACACTGTTACTTATGGGTGGAAAAAAGCCACAGTTCCTGTCCTTAAAATGTCAGTTTAGCATCATGGACACCTTTACAGAAAACACTATTCTCCTCTAAGCTTTTCTTCCAAACCAACAGGTTTCCCCATCAGGCTGGTGGTGCTGCAGTAGATGCAATTATTCCTGCCTGGTGAAGGTGACTGTTCCGGGTCTTGGTCTTCTCTTTCATTTTACTGTCCTGTGTCCACAGCAGGGGTAAATGTGCTTATGAAGAGGAAGGTCAAGGTTGCAGGTGTCAAGCTAGAGCCTGAATTTGGGTCACCTTTCTTACCCCCGATCCCCTGTGGCTTTTGGCCAAGGCAGCTGCTCTGCTTTGGCCACAGTCCCAGATCTTTAGGTGCCTCATGTTCCCAAGGCACCTGTGGGAGTCAGGGCAGCCTAAATTCCCACGCAGGCACCTGATGCCTTCAGAGGATTCAGCTCTGTGTGCCTCGGGAAGCTCTACCTGTATGCCTGGTCTGCCCAGGCTTATTCTCCATGGAAAGAAAATGAGCTTGTCTTTTCTCCACAGCTTGAGTTGTCCTTGACTGTCCTTGAGCACTTTGAGCCTGTTTGGCCCTTCTGGGAAAGGGATCGTATTCCTCAGATGAAGCATAACGCTACTTCACGTTTTCTGTGCTCCCTTTACAAATGACAGCCTGGAGCTTTGAACCTTGTTATTAATGATAAAACCCAGTGATTAAAGGCAGCAAGTTTTATTATTATTTAATCAGGACACTCGCTCAGTGCTCTCGGTGAGATGAGATGTTGCAGGAACCAATAGAGAGCTAAGCTCAACAGTGACGCTTCTCCTTTGCCTGTCTGTGACTTTACTTTTTGACTAAGTTGCAGATCTTACATCTTTTATGAGGGTGAGGAAAGGATACAAACAGTTTAGCAACTGGTTTCTATTGTCTGTCTGCTGAGGAAGTGTCTTTTCTGTGGCAAGATGGATGATGATGCCTGGACTCTTTTGATCCTCTGCAAAGGGATTAATCTCATTCTTTAGTTCTCCTTGCTAGGGATGAAGGCAAGGATGGAGTTAAAGAGTGTGATGGGGGGTAAATAAGCTCCTGAACTCCATTCTCCTGACTGAGCAGGAATCCAGTTAAGGTTATCTGACAATAAAAACGATCCTATGCTGTCCTGGTTGTGTTTGGGTCCTTTTCCTGACAGCCATGTCTGCGTTACAGAAGAGAATAATTTGCCTTCAGTTCTCTTCTTGGCGGCTTTTCTTGATAGAGTAGCTAAGATAAAAGCTGGGCCAAAATAATGTTCCCTTAGACATCTTAATCTTAGAGTGGCGAGAAGCCCTGAGTGGGATCAGTGCCGTCACTACTCCAGTGGAGCTGCAGCTCCCAGCTCAGATCTCCAGCAATTACTGGGTCCTTCCTCTTACTGCGAGCAATATCAAATCCATGGCACTTGTCTCCATGTGGAAGGACAGCAGCAAGTGCATGCCTCTAATTCAGCACAGGCTCAGTTCTGGATATTAAAGCAATGGCATTGCCCCTGAATAGGTACGAATGTTATTTCTATTAAGTAGTGGTTTAATTTCCAGCTTGGCCTTTACCAACACAAGGAGTGACCCTTCATCACAGTCTTCCTCTGAGCAGTGGGGTTCCTCTGGTTGGATATGACTCAGCTGGGAGAAGCACCTCTAACTTTTGACCCTATGGAAATAATCCTGGGGAGAAAATGAACGGTTCCTCAGTAAATTGAAGCCCACATGGCCCTTGCTAACTTGGAGGACCTGCAGCCACTGAATCTTTGTTAAGGTACAATCATTTGAAAGTCCTAAAAGTGTGTCCTGATGCCGGAGATAGCTTTGCAGAAAGGATGATGGTGTGTGGAGGTCAAGTCCAAATTAGCTAACGCTGGAGAGGAGGAGGAGGCTGCAGGGGCCTGCACACCCCCGTCCCCTGGGCAGGGCATTCAGCGGGTCTGCCGGGGGTGTCCGACCCCAGCTTCTGCCTCCCCCTGTGGCCACAGCACGGCTTCCCCAGCCCCACGCGGGAGCCTCGGTTCCTGGCAGCACCCAGGCTGCTGGCACAACTCGCCTCCTGCCCACCCCCTGGGGTTCCCTGGCCTCGCGATCCATGCAGAACCTTGCGGGGAGGGCAGAGGGCTGACCTTCAGTAGGGAGAGCCGCGAGCTGTCGAGCAGGAGGGTGATGGGTTTCTGGTTACAGGGGGACCTGCGGGCTCCGACCCATGGCTGCTCACTACAGCACGTCGCGCGTCATGGGGGGCACAGGTGCCCCCCAGGGGCCCATCCCTGGATCGTCAGCATCCAGGACCCCTGGCAAGCAGGCACGGGGCATGTGTGCAGAAGGTCGCTCATCAGGGCAGAGCGGGTTCTGACAGCAGCACACTGCTTCCTCGAGGCCAGGGAAGGAGGGCCAAGAACGGGGATATCCCCCAGCACTCGCGGGTCCCCCTTCTGCAGCACCACGTGCTACTCCCGTCCCCTTTCCCTGCCGTACACCCAGTGCCCGGGCACTGCAGAGCCCGGCTGAGAGGTTGCTCAGGAGAGAGCTGGGCTCCTGCCATGGCTTCCTATAGCCTCCAGCTCGACACGCCTCGAGCCCAAGGCACACAGGGGCAGTCTGAGCCTCCGTAGCGCTGCTTTCCTCTGCCCCGTGTGAAGCAGAGGGCAGTGACCTGGTGGGCTGCAGCAGCACGTGGCTGGGCTCCCTCTGAGCCCCCTCCCCATCTGCCTTCCAGGCACGTTGCCATGTGGAACGTGGTGGTTGGGGCCACCCACTTCACTCAGCCGGGCCCAGAGACCCATGTTCGCGGCACTAAGCGGCTGCTGGTTCACCCACGCTACAGCAACGTCACCAAGAGGAACGACGTTGCGCTGCTGCAGTTGGACCACCCTGTGCAGTGCGGCTGCTACGTCCAGCTCGCCTGCGTGCACGACAGATGTCTGCGACTGTCGGAGCTGACGACGTGCTACGTCAGCAGCTGGGGGGCCACGACGGCGAGAGGTGATTTCCCAAAGAGTCTTCACATCCCGAGTGCGAGCTCAGCACACGGGGAGGCGGGCTGGGCTTCCTGACAGCAGAGGCGAGAGCCAGAGCCCGCCTGCGGGGATGTGTGCCCGTAGAGAGATGGGCTTGGCCCAGCGCCCATGGCAAGAGTGCAGGGCAACGCCGGGACAGCGCCTGTCAGGCTACAAAGCCAAACCCCAGGGAAGGGTGGGGTTCACCCAGACAGGACGGGAGACCTGGCAACCTGCTGCCGGGCATGAATTCCTTTCCGTGCTCGCAGCCGCAGGACCAACAGACGTCCCGCAGGAGGCCCAGGTCCGCCTCATCGAGCTCAACCTCTGCAACAGCAGCCGGTGGTACTGCGGAGCCGTCCACCCCCAAAACCTCTGCGCTGGCTACCCGGAGGGCGGCATCAACATCTGCCAGATAGGAGCCTGCGACAAGGCAGCGCCCAGTGGCACCGGTAGAGCCCTACAGCCGCCCAGACACACCCCAGCACAGGCTTTGCCTGGCCAGTCGCCCTCCCACCACCGCTGGGTCCCCACCGCTGCTGGGGCTGCCCTTCCCCAGCTGCAGGTCCTGGCCCAGGGCCCCACTTGTCCCGAGGCCCGAGACTCTGCCCAGAAAGCCCACCCAGTGCTCCTGGCAGCACCGAGGTCCAGCTCCCAGCCCTGGATAATCCCTCTTGCAGGGGGACAGAGGTGGTCCTCTCGTCTGCAAAGACAAGAGTGCTGACTACTTCTGGCTCACTGGGGTGACCAGCTGGGGGAGAGGCTGCGCCAGAGGGAAACGGCGCGGAATCTACACCTCCACTCAGCACTACTACCAATGGATCCTGCAACAGATGGGATTGTATTCGACACCAAGGGCTGCTCCAACATCATGGGCATGGAGTCCTTCTCTCACCGCTTCAGCTCCTTTTCAGAGGCCCAGCCCAACACCAGCACAGTCGGGCTGGTTTAGCTCCTGCCCCTTTCCCCTCCAGAAGCTGCTGCAGATCCTAAAAGCAAAAAGGGCTTGAGCAGCAGGAGGAAGAGGATCCAGCGCAGGCGGAAGTGGACCAGAGCCATCTCCTGTTGGGACGCTCACTGCCTGCGGACCCAAAGGCAGCCTCCGTGTCAAAGGCCTGCTCGGTCCTGCCCACGCTCCTCTGAGCGCACACAAACGCTCAGGCTGACTTAGTTCTTGAAATAAAGTTGCCAAGTTTCCCAGCTAACCACGCTGCAGTCCAATTCAGTCTCCTCTGCAAGGCCAGGACGTCCATGCCTGGCACCTGCAGGATGAGGCTGCAGGCAGCCATGTCGGGCCCAAGGGGAAAGAGTCCCTCCAAAGGGCTGAACCCAGGCTGTTCACAGAGGGAGGTGCTCAGAGCCACCCGGCACAGAGAAGACGGGCACATCGGGGCCACAGAGGGGATAGGAAAAATCAGTGTGACACGCAAAGAGCTCTGGGGAAAGTGCACACACCCACACACCCTGAGTGCGCACACACTCACACACACACACACACGCACACGCACACACGCAGAAGAAGCGTGTGCACATGCAGGTTGCAGCCGCCCACAAGCCCCGCATGCATGCTTGCCAGCAGAGCAGTTTAGCTGAGGGAGCAGAGCAAAGGATCCTCCTGTCGCTGACCCCTTGACAGTCTGCAGCTGCTTTCCATCCCTCATCGCCACCCAGACTGAGAAGGCTGAAGGGGTTCAGTTCTCCTGGAGTCAGGGCCGGATAACGGGCACTTGTCACCGCACACCTGCACTTCGGACTTGTCCTCATCTGACTGACACCACCACTGCTGTGTAACACAACGCAACACCCAAAGTCTCTCCTAACACGCGATAACCACGCCTAGAGGGCGCAGCTCATGAAACAGCAGGGCCAGACCTGAAACAGAGCTCTGCACAGGGCTGGGGGAACGGGGAGGAAGATGCCGTGCTGGAAGCACTGGGCTCCTGAAGCTAA